TCACATACATAAATACACACACACGCATACACACATAAACACAAACACACACACAGCACAGACACACACACACACACACACACACACACTCACACAAACAAACAAACAAACACACACACACACACACACACACACACACACACAACGACACACGCATACGCACCACACCGCTCCGGAAACAAACATTCAGATTCAAAGCAAAATCGAAACCCACTAGCGATACCCGAGAATAAGGCTTTCACTTTTCACACGAACAAACTTCTGGAGAACTACAAAGAATATGCTAACACGGAAGGACTTCCTTAACGAGCCATCACCCCAACAAACACAATAAAGAAAAGACCTAGATCTAACCCTAACCCTGACCCAACCCCTACCCTTACCTCTACCCCTACCCTTAACCCCTACCCCTACCCTTACCCCTACCATTACCTCTACCCCTACCCTACCCTTACCCCAAACCCTAACCTTCTATTCTACTCTGTTTCATAGTGGTCGTTCGTTACGGAAGTCCTCTCGAAAAAACATGATACATCCATTGCGTGAGGACAAAATCTTACAGAAGTAGAAGGAAACAACGAAGTTGTTGCTTTCCAACGAGCACAAAAAGAAACAGTGTCTCGCACACAGCCAAAGACAGGACTGACGCGTCCCGTCACCTCTCAATAATATTCCCGCACTTGCGAAATTGACGACAATAAAAGTGACACTGGCATGCAATAGCCTCGGTGAACCCTTATACTACACAACCTACTAGATAGACAACCGCTCGAAACCGGAGGGTGTAACTCGACACCCACCACCAATTTTGCTGCATAATATGTGAGACATCGTGGTGAAATCAGGTGCTCGTCAAAATAATAAAATCGAAGAAACAGGCATTTTTCCTCCAGTTTGACAATATTTATCGAATTTTTCTTTTTTGTCTAAACACCTTTTATATACACATAAAAACATATTTCTATGTGAAATCTATTTTTTTAAAACGTTGAATAATCGCTTAAAATATGTATATTCTCAGTTGTCAATGACTCTCAAGCTATAGTACTCACCATATTTTGGCGGCCATTTTCTCGCCAATTTTTCCTCTGAAACAAGGCGACCCCCACTTCCTTCATTCTCAAATATCTCGACTTCTACTCAAGATAGAAGGATGGGTTTTTTTCATAGCGGGCAAGACAAAGAACAAGCTTTAAGATGATACCAATAATTCCACACGCCCACAAATTGACGAGCGCCTGATTCCTCTGCGTCGTGACACATATTATCCCATCCGTCGTGCTATCGATGTCTGTCCCATCGCCTGCTGTCTGTCTGTCTGTCTGTCTGTCTGTCTGTCTGTCTGTCTGTCTGTCTGTCTG